CATACCACAGCCCTTCCACCCCCACCCCCACTACACTGGTCACCTAATGGTTTTAGGCCTAAATGAAGAGGGAGAAGGAGGAAGAGGACCTTGGGTTTTTTCTTTAACTCCCCAGTGATTCCAATGTGCAGAGAGGGTGGACAGCCAGAGGCCCACCATCTGTCCCTGTGAGAAGTACAGCCACTCAGCCTGCGGAGGCTGCCATAGCTTGGGGGGCTCTGGTGTGCAGGGCAAGGGGCCAAGTGCAAGGGCAGCAGAGATGGAGAAACTCCAAAAAAAAAACCACCCTGGTTCCCTGCCCTGGAGCTCTAACAAATGCCAGTGTGGATCCACCCCCAGCAATTCGGATTCCAATGTCTGTTTTTAAAAACTGCTTCCCAGGGCAGGTGAGGCCAGGGAGAGCCAGTGCTCTAGAGGCACACGCAGTTCAGTCAGCCCTCCCTGCGTCGCAAGGGGTAGAGATCTGCTTACGTGTCATGATCAAGAGCAGGGATTGCAAACTTTTCCTGGTAAGAGTCAGAGAGCAAATATTTTAGGCTTTGTGGCCATAGTCTCTGTCGCAACTACTCAACTCTGTTGTTGCAATGTGAAAGCCACCGCAGACCACTCTAAAGCATGGGTGGTGGGCTGCGTTCCAATGAAACATTATTTACCCGAACAGGCCGCCTGCTGGATTTGGCCCCAGGCTCTAGTCTGCAGACCCTTGATCAAAAGGGAATGCTTTTGAAATTTGCATTTTAAACCTCCCCAACTTCAAGTTATGCTATTGACGGGGATATTTTAATTAAGCAGAAAATAATTACCTGTATTGACTCGAATATTTCCTGATGGGATTTAACTGTTCTGGTTCCTATAAGGATTAGTTAAGACATAATCTTGCCCTGGGTCGAGCTAGTCCCCTGGTCAGGCTCACAGAGGTAGAGCTTGCATTTGCTTTTTTCTTTCTCCCGCTTTTCTTCTGGTTTTGATCGCAGATTAAGCAGCCAGCAGCAGCGCTATTTAAATGTACACCAAATCCAAATGTTAACTACAGACCTGGGGCTTGGGGTTCTACTGAGACTCAAGTGAGTCACTTAGCAGAGGGGTTCAGCTCAGCCACCTGTGCCACTGTCCCTCGGGCACCAGAGGCTCCCAGGAAGGAGCAAGGGCTCGGATGTGGGTGAGGAAGCGACTTGCTGGTTGGCCTGTGCTTATTTGGAAAATATATCTACTGCTCATGCCTGGAAAAAAACACACACAACCCTTATCATTCAAATCTCAAGTCATCTGCCATTTGTTTTTGAATGATTGATTCTTCCTTTAAAGGGGCCAGGTATAGAGCAGCGTCCCTATCACACGGGCTGCCTGAGGCAGCTGCTGCGGGAAGGCGGGCAGATGGAGCACAGCCCATTTTCGGCTGGCAGGCCAGGAACAGCGGAGCATGTGGTGTTAGCAGCTAATAATTAAAACACTAATGTTTCAAGTGGTGGGTTGAGATTTTCAAACACACAGCAACCCAACGGCTGGTTAACACTTCTCAGCTTTCTGGTAATAGTGCTCACATTTATTGTTGGTATGATGGTCTGTCTTTTTGTAAAATTGGAAGTATTCCTTCTTTCCCCAAACTGTTAAAAATAAGTTTTCTGGTGTTGATGCCACTCTTGCACTGTGCTCGCTCAGCCCGAGGCTATCCTGATTTCCATCACATACCTGAGAGCTCTCCTCCTCCTCCTTGCTGCAAACTTGAAAATGTTTACATGTGAGAACACAGGTTTTAAAGAACTTCTTGGGCCTCAACCCCACTATCTAAGCTCTGAGCTACAAAGTGGCGTCTTTGATCTAATGAAAACAAGTGGGTGAGAAAACCCCCCAATGCACACCAACCATGCATCTCAGAAAGAACAGACTTGGATGGGAGGCAGGTGTTGTGCGTCCATTGATTCACTCAGCGATGCTTCCTGGGCACCCACCAGTGCCCGGCTCTAACTGATGGGCTTGCAGAGCTCTCGGAGGAACTCATGCTCTTGGGGAGGAAATGACAAAAACAAGTAAATAATGAGGAGAATTTCAGCAAGTGCACACCTGGGGCAGG